TAACACAAAAGAGCTCACATCTTATACTGACTACTTGCTCTGATCATAGAAAGTTACTATAGAAGGAAAAAGAGCAAGGACATATGACATACCAAATATGACAGGATAAAACATCCTTAGCTTTGTTTAAATTCAGATAGAGTCACAGTTCTCCAATCATGCAGTTCCTCCTCATAGCCAGACTCAGGAATAGTCAGGTGGGAAACATGCCTTTCCAAAGGAACACAATGGGGAAACTGAGCCAGAAGGATCCCATCCTAGATTGAGGCTAAGATTGTCCCTCGTTTTCCCAATGAATCACATTCCCTGAGTAGACCTCCACCTGTTCTTGTGGCATTTCTCTCAGATGCTGATTTAATGCAGACAACTATACCCAATTCAAATTCAAAACAAAAGTAGTTTACGTCCCAAGAGCCTTTTACCTCAAACAGCAAGTTTCACTAATCACAACTTAAAGCCAGATACAGTTAATTTTACTCTCATGGAGTTGCAATAAGCAATAAAGATTTACCAAGACTCATACATAAGAGATTTCACTTTACATCTTTCCTTCTCACATTTAAACTTGTCGTGGTGTAAAAGCCATTAGAAATCATTTCTATCACTGTAATTTGCAAATTCAGCAAGCCAAGTTCATTGTTTAGGAACTGCATAATCCTAACAAGTTCTTTTCTCAGGGCAGATGACCTTGCCCACACAGATGGTTTCCAGGGACCTTGGCAAGTTTACAAAATAAGGAGAACTGACACGGCCCTCAGAGAGGGCTGATACTGGTGCCCTTGAATGGGCAGAACCAACCCAGTAAGGTTTTACACCATTCCCTTCTTTCCACGTACAGTAATTAATTAACCCTTTTAGGTTTTAGCATGAAAACAGTAAACTCAAATAACTTAAACAATCTCACAAATTTCATAAATGATAGCAAAAACAATTTTAACTGAAAATTCCCATAAATAAAGACAAAATTTGGAAATTTTATGATTTCTTAAATTACAATACTTAAAAGGAAATGTTACAAAACAGGATCATATAGAATGCCCCAACAACCGGATTCATTCCTTTTTCTCTTTTCTCTGAAGGCACAATTAATTTAATATTCTAGATTATAAAAGAAATTGCCCTTCCAGCAACATAACTAATACCATTGCTGACTAGATTACATCACATAAGAAAATTCAGAAATACGTAAGCAGTATATTAAAAACTTAAAACAGACCCAATAAAAAATCTTTCCTTCTTTCTAGACCCCTTCACCAGGTCCAACAGTCTCCTGGGGCCACTCCCACCCCTACAGATTGGCTTCTTTTTTTTTTCCTTTTACAGTACAATTCTTAACCTAAAAATATTTAGATTATAAGAGAAATTGCTTTTCTGACAACACAGATGATACAGTTGCTTACCAAATTATGCAATAAAGGAAAATTTTAGAAATACAACAATACCATAAAACAACTATCATCTATTTAAACTTTAAAACTGAAACCAATTAATTACCACTCTGGTGGCTTAACGAGTATGAAGCAATTATATTTAACTTAAAACAGTTTATATTAAGATAGCATTTGTTTTATGCTAAGCATTGTGCCAAGCACCTTTACAATCATGTGATCTTCATAATATCCCTGGGAGTGAATTCCACCACCATCCCCTTACTGAATAGTAAACTAAAGTAAATAGAACTTTCTTGGGGTCATATAGTTAATAAATTTCTTAATGCCAAATAGCAATATGTACTTTTAAAATTATACAAATATACATTTCTAAGTTCAATACCCTTGGCCCTTTATAAAGGAATATTACCCACAAATTCATATATTTCTTCAATATTTCAGTTCCCCATTCATGTCCACATTTTCTTGCTGAAAGTTTTACAAATAGTTTGGAATCACCTATTGTAATCAGGTCAGTTTAAAATGTGCTGGGCCTGTATTCTAACTACTTCTTTTTGGGGATGGATGACCCCAAATCTCTCCAGTTTGGTGGCTCTGGTTTCATCTCCAACTTCTGCCCTGGCAGAGAACATGCTCTCTTCACTTCTTCCCTTGCTAGCCCACTGTGTGTCTCCTCATTACCTCTTCCCTCCCTCTCTTCTTACCTCCTCATTCTACCTCCCAAGCAGACCTGAAGACTTCAGCAGGCAACCCAAGAAACAGATCAAGAATCATTGTTTCAGAGCTGGGAAGGGCCCTTAGAAACCACCGAATTCAACTGTGTAATTTTAGTGATAAAGAAAGTGAAGGTCCCAGGAGGCTTATTAACTTGTCCAATATTTGTGTGCACATACATGTTAAGTAGAAGAGCCAGGATTTGAACCCAGACTCTGTGAAGCATTCCCTGATTCTTACAGTTGCCTACACTCTCTCATCTCTGTAGTTGCTCATCCCTACAATTTTATTTCTGCAAAATGTTTTTGGAGTTGCATTCTCGTAGTTCCTGGGTATCTTGGTAGATACTAAATATTTCATAATATTTTGAATTGTTTTGAATTTCAAATATTCATAGTTTCTTTGAGTAGATTTTATCTTCATAGCTCTTCCTCTTGGGTTTTGTTGATAATGTACAGGGATTCTGATTATTGATTTTACATTCCAAAACTTTGCTGAATGTGTTAGTTGCTTTAATTAATTTCAATTCTCTAGGGTTCTCTGAATTGACCATCATATCATTTGCAAAAAGGGATAGTTTCACTTTCTCTTTCCTACATTTATTCCTTCAGTTTCTCTTTCTTGTCTTTTCTCTATAGTTATTGTTTTTAGCACTATATTAAGTAACAGTAGTGAAAATAGACATCTTTGCTTTACTCCAAACACTTTGAAAGCCTTCTAACTTTTCTTTTTAATGAGGAATGTTTGCTCTTGGTTTTAGGTAGACGCTACTCTCTTTAATAAAGAGAAGTCCATTTAGCCCCATGTTTACTGGTTGTTGTTTTTTTTTTTAAATAGAAATGAGTATTACATTTTATCAAGTCTTTTCAACATCTATTAATAAAATGACTTATTCTATTTATGGTTTTCCTCATATTAAACCAACTCTGCATTCTTGGTATAAATAAAACCTGGTCATGGTATATAATCCTTTCAACATGTTGCTGTAGCCTCTTTGCTAATATGGTCCTAATGCAGAGATATAGATTAGCTCTGACTCCCAAACCAGATAAATTCCAGGGGGTATGTTTATGTAAAACTTATGTAAGGTGATGTGTGTGCTTGTGGGTAGCTGGTTCCTGGAAAGATTTATTTAGCCTGTCAAGATACCATCAGGAGACATCCTGTTTTCCAGAGCTAAGGCCCAGCAAGTAAGCTGTGCCCTAAGTTTGGCATAGCAACAATCCTTTGCGCTCACCCTCCAGACGAACACTGCAGCAACTAAGTCACAAAACTGATGGTCCCTGAGCTTGGGCAAGCACCGACAGGCCCAGACATGAAGCCCTGCTACGAACAGACTTTTTGTCACTAGACAAGCTTGCCTCATGGCGTCTGCTGGGCCTTACTACTGTTGCTACACTACACTGTTTGACTCTGTCTAGCCACAAGCATATAAATCAAGGTTCAGCCCCACTAAATAGGGCTCCCCCCGCCACTAGGGTCAGGGCCCTGGAACGTGTGTCTAGCTTACCTCCTTGTTTGAGAGCCGTCTCCCTCACTTTGAAATTAAACTTCTATTTGATTCCTGACTCTTCTCTCTAGCCTGCTCTGTTTGGTTCTGGCCACCCACAGGTTAGAGGCCGGTTCCATCCAGTAGACAGGCCCATATGTGGCATGGATCTCCCGAGGGCAGGGCTAGTCAGGACCCCAGTTTCCCTATCACATCTAGCCCAATCCTGCCCTCAAAGGAAATGATTGCATTTTCCATGCTGGGAGGAACAAGAGGAAGGATGTGGCTATACTGTCAGCAATCTAGAAGGACAGCAGCCAACCTCCGGGACCTCCATGGACGGGTGATCGCTCCTTTTTGCTTTGTTGTCTCCAAAAGAGGCATCAAGCTCCGCATCAATGTCTAAAGTACAGGGGTACAAGAGATCCAGAATAAAAAGAACTTCCCTACAATTACTTTAGTTTTTATGGCTACCATGACACACTGATAATTCATGTGGAGATTGTAGCCTCCTCTATCATACCCTCAAGCCACTCTGACAGACAAACACACAAACAAGGCCTCCCCCAACGTGTTCTTCTGAAGTTGATTTTTGAGCCCAAGTATAAGATTTTATATTAATCCTATTGAATTTCCTTTTCTTAGACTCAGCCCCATGTTCTAGCCTGGCAGGATGATTTTGTATCCTGACTTTTGTCATCCAGTGGGCAGCTCTCCCTCCCAGCTTTGATTCCTGGACAAATTCTAGAATAGTTCATTCTAGGTGAACTTTGGTTTTATAAACAGCTGTATAGATGGAGAGATAGATCAGTGTGTGTGCTATTATGGTTCTGTTTATTTTACTTGGCATCAGTTACTACATATATTTTCGTATTTTCTCATGTTCTTCATATTTATCTTTTAATGGTACCATAACATGAGGAGAGAATCATAAGGCAGCATAGGGCAAACGATCCTTTGGGGTTGTATTTTGTTAAAATTAAGACAAAGAGAATTTCTGGCTTAACATTCTTACCTCCGCCTTGATTGTATGATTGGCAGCAGTACCTAATTAACGGATCTTCAGACAGTATTTGTCTCAAGTGTATGCATCTTCTAATATGTTTTTATTTTATCTGGTCAAGACATAACTGGTTCAAATTTGTAGAGGTGGTTTTGAAAGCTATAGCATATTTAGTTTGAGTGTTGATTTATTGACATTTGTTATGAATAAAATTTCCACGTGTAAAAAGGTTTATTAAAAACACAACTGAATCAATTATTTTAAAAAAACCAACATCCTAATTTTTCAAGCAACATAGCAAATAAAAAAACCCAAATACAAGACATGTAGCATTTTATTATGATTGACTGAGTACTTATGCCATCAGCTATTGTTAGAGCCCAGCTCATAACAATTCCATCATTCTAAAATAAAGTTACAGTGAAAATATTCAAATTTATAGACCCAATGAGACAAATGTTTCATAAGCTATCATTTTATTTCTATAGAGTGTTTATAATTTGAATAACTGGGTACAAAGCTTTAGAGCTGTGACTTTATCAATCAGTTCTTGTATCCCTGTTATAGTTATTATTCTTATAAGTTGGTCTCGCAATACAGCAGGATTTAGTGGTGGATCTTTTTCTACTCTCCATATGTTGAGTGCCTCAAGAATGGCTTCTTCCAATTTAGTACCGATCCTAAAGTTGAGGGGAAAAAATCTTTAATTTTTATTATCATAAAATTATGAGCTAACAATCATCATCATCATCATCATCATGATGCTTCCATTTTGTTCCTAGCTCTTCTGCTGTGTGTTCTTGGGCAAGTCCCTTTTTTTCTGCACTAGACTTTTTTTTGCTACTACTATTATCACTACTACTACTACTACCATTACTGTTACTACTACTACTGCAGATATCTTGAGTATTTGAATCTTATAGGAATCAATGCCTACATTTTCATTAAATTCAAATGCTCCACTTTTTATCCACCAAGAACACTCTAAAATTAGCACTTGTCTCAGTGAAGCCTTAATAAACACATAGCAGCTAAATCTGAAATTTGAAAGACCTTCACAGATTTCTCTGGAATGTTGCCATCAGTGCCCGGACTCTGGGACGGTGATACTTGGAGAACTCAAGGACACACAGACAGCTGTACTAAGGTCGGAAAACAACTGCCTCTGAGCTATCCAAATACTGCCAGAGGCCTATTTGCCTCCTCCTCCTCCTCTCTTTTCAGTCCAACAGTTTGCAAGGATAGAATGTTAATCACTCAATCAACAAGTGTCAGATATGATCCAGGTAATGTGCTAGGCCCCCAGAATGGAGATACAACGAATGAAACAATCCCTGCTCTGAAGGAATTGGCATTCTAGCTGGGGACATGACAAGGAGATACATGCACACACATCTGTGTGTGTGTGTGTGTGTATGTATATATATGTGTATATGTATATGTGTATATTGGATAAATATAAAGAAAATATATACAAACAAATTCAATCCCTATTCTGAAGGAATTGGCATTCTAGCTGGGGAAATGACAAGGAGATACATGCACACATGTGTGTGTGTGTGTGTGTGTGTGTGTGTGTGTATATATGTGTATATGTATATGTGTATATTGGATAAATATAAAGAAAATATATACAAACAAATTCAATCCCTATTCTGAAGGAATTGGCATTCTAGCTGGGGAAATGACAAGGAGATACATGCACATATATGTGTATGTGTGTGTGCATGTATATATATGTATATGTATATGTGTGTATTGGATAAATATAAAGAAAATATATACAAACGAATTCAATGTCATTTAATACAAAGTGGTTTGGGAGAGAAGGCACCAGCAGTTGGGGCGATCAGGAAAGGCTTCATCTAGAAGATGATACTTAAGGAGAAAATGCTTTCTGAGCAAAGGAGAATGGTGAGAACAAAGCCATGGAGATGAGAGCTGGAATGTCATGTGTAAAAAGGCCATTTTGGCTGGCTTCAAGAGTGGGAAGAAAGGAAGAAATAAGCATTTATTAAGAGCCTGCTATGTGCTAGGAAAAGTGCTGAACACTTTACTAAGATCTGATACGATCCTTACAATAAGCCTGTGGGGTTAGGTGAGGGTTAAGAAAGGTGGTTTGGGGCCAGGCTGTGAGGAGCTTTAAAAACTAGACAAAGAAGTTCATCTTTTTTCCTGGAAGCAATAGGAAGTCATTGAAGTTGACTGAGTAGAGGAGTCATATGGTCAGTTTTGCATTGAAGGAAAATTACTTTGGCAGCAGTGTGTAGAATGGCCTGGAGGTGAGGGACTTGTGGCAGGGGACCAATTAGGAGGCTGCCACAGTAACCTAGGGAAGAGGTGCTGAAGGACTGAACTAAGGGAGTGTGTGCACGGAGAAAGGTCAGATGGGAAGAGATGGTGTGGAGGCATAAGAGTTAGTAGCTATGTGGGCTGAGGAAGCTTGAGGAGCTAAGGAGAAGGCCAACGTTAGGAGCCTAAAGCACGAGTAGAATCCTGGTGCCTTCTACAGAAATAGAGACAATTTAGAATAGGGGAGGGTTTGGGGAAAAGAAAACGAATTCTATTCTGGATTTGTTACTTTTGAGATGTCTCTTTTGTTGTTCAGTCATTCATTTGTGTCTGACTCTTCATGACCCCATTTGGGGTTTTCTTGGCAGAGATACTAGCATGGTTTGCCATTTCCTCCTCCAGCTCATTTTACAGATGAGGAAACAGAGGCAAAAAGGGGGAAGTGACTTGACCAAGGCCACACAGCTTTCTCTAGCATTGCCATATTAAAAGGGTAAGGGACCACTGTCATATATCACCAATACAAGTATTGTAGCCTCTATTTGATTCCTTGACTGAATCTATAGTCCTGAGTATAGGTTAGGGCACTGATCTGCCCAAACAGCCCTATTTGCTCTTTTCATAGCTAGGCCACCTGTTTCTCTGTACGAACACAAATGGAGCTTTGCTTTAAAATTTCAAGTTACCAGACATTAGGTACAATATTATTATTGCTATCATATGCTACTGGAATATCACATTACAATGTTACTATTCAGTTTTTATGATAATTAAATTGATGAATCCTCCTTCTGTTCATGCTTCAACAATAAAGGATAGATGTTAGTCTACTGAAATCATTCCTAGAGCAGAGATATTTCTCTCTTGAAAGTAGTGAATGGGGCAGCTGGGTGGCATAGTGGATAAAGCTCCACCCTTGGAGTCAGGAGGACCTGAGTTCAAATCAGGCCTCAGATACTTGACATGACACTTAGTAACTGTGTGACCCTGGGCAAGTCACTTAAACCCGACTGCCTCACCAAAAAGCAAAAAAAATTAAAAAGAAAAAAGAAAGTAGTGAATGAGCTTGGCTCCCTGGCAAGCAAGATTTGTGAAATTCAAACATTCATGTGGAATGCAAAACATTAGTTGTTAATGGCCTATAAATACACCATAACCTGTTAGGTGAACAAGAAGAAATTAGCTTTCTTATCTACAAAATAAACAGAAGATAATTCATCAATTCATAAATTGTTTTTACTTTGTTTTTGTAATATATATGCATATATGTTGTTGTTTCAGTCACATCTGACTCTTCATGATCCCTTGTGGGATTTTCTTGGCAAAGATATTAAAGTGGTTTGCCATTTCCTTCTCCAGCTCATCTTATAGATGAGGAACTAAGGCAAACAGGGTGAAATGACTTGCCCAGGGTCCTTCTCCAGCTCATCTTATAGATGAGGAACTAAGGCAAACACGGTGAAGTGACTTGCCCAGGGTCACACAGCCAGTAAGCATCTAAGGCTGGATTTGAACTCATGACGAGGAGTCTTCCCGACTCCCAGCCCAGTGCTCTATCCAGTGCACCACCGTGCTGCATTTCATAAAGGTATATCATCGCAAAATAGCAGTTGCTTATTTAGCATTACAAGGTTTGCCACGTGCTTTACATGCATTCTCATTTGTATACATGGACACATGTTTTCCATTGAAAGGGAGAACTACAAATGATAGTATGCAGAAGTACTTCTTCATTAGCACGTCAATCACTGGCTTCTTTATTTGTAGCTTTTCGCAGAAAAACTCAAAGTGAGCTCCGGATAGACTGCGAGACACTGTCCTCAACAACTTCTGCAGTATTTTCTCTGAAAATAAAGACAAGGGAAATTTTAAGGCTCTTCATTTGACAAGGATCTTACATTTTAAATAATGAACATCCTATATATCTTACTAAGGAATGCTTCTGTATTTTATTTTTAACACACGTATCTCTGATGTTCATAACAATTCAGACAAAAAAGAACCATCATTAATTGACAGCTTCTACCACCCTGTAACCTTGCTTAATTTCTCTTGGCAATATCATCATTATATAACTTTAGAGTTAAATGATAGTTCGGAGACAATCTAATCCAAGCCCCCATCTTCTAGCTAAGGAATTTGAAGTATAGAGAGGTTAAGTGGCTGGCCAAATTCACACAGAGTTCATGCCTGAGCCAGGATACTACTGATTCTCAAGTCTTGTGATTTTTCTACTAGTCTTTAAACAGAGTGGTCTTCTCTGTCCCAAGTGATCTCTGATTGGCTCACACTGTCCCTGAGCAAATTTGGAAGTCATTGCTTCCCAACTTTCTCCACTACTTCAATTTTCCATTTTCTCCATTTAATTAAGAGTCACCTTGGTTAAGCTGATCTTCATCAAGGACTCAATTTTAGAAGACTTCTCTGAAGTGGATGACAAATGCGATTTTTTACAAGGACTTTGGAGGTTGAGGAGAATGAGAATGCGTAGGATAGAAAAAAAAGGAAAGAAAAGAAATGAAAGAGAACCATTGAGCAGCTTATCTTAAAATACAGAAAAGAGAACAGAAGAAAGACCAGAAAGAAGCACAAACAAGCCAGACAGCTTTGAAAGCAGTAAGTTGAACTCATATGCCTAAAAGATAAGCAAGGTGTATATAATAGTAGCCTGCAGTTTCACGTACAATTCTCTTTTTCTCTTCCAATATGTATATGGAAATGCCCATTTTATTTGGAGTTTGTCAAGTTCAGAGTAAAAATGATTTTTAAAAAATGTAAGTGCAATGTTTTACGAGTCTTTATAAAAATCCCTAATACTGGATGGCAAACATCATTTCTTTCTTAGCAGAGGAAGGTAACAAAAGTTAGTACAATGCCTAGCTCCTCTGACTTCTAAGTAGCTCTCGAAACAGTAAATTGTATTAGAGATTGGATGGTCAATATTATAGTCCTGGCTACTTTGAATTTTGCATGTGTTTTGCTGTATTGTTTGTGAATTATGAGTCCTCTAATGTGTTCTGCATTTTCTGTAGGGCAGAACAAAAGCTATCCCATCCTAGGTATGTACCTTGTAACCTCTAATTCTTATACAGGATCTGAGTACCTACTTACCTACAAATGTGGAGAACTACACATAAGCCATCTTCATATATACACAAGCTACATTCAGAGATTTTCCTGTAGCAAACTCTGGGTAGAGACATAATGAGCTAAGGAGACATGGAGGTCAGCAACCAAGATTGCACTTGGTCCATTATCTCTTAGGGAGCTGGACCGTGGGTTACATCTATAAGAGGACAGGATAGGACCAGGTGATGTTTAAGGTTTCTAAATGCCATAACAGACTGATTCTCAGGCCTCTTCAAGACCTTAAGTAACTATGACTGATGATAGTATTTCTGTGGCCCTTAGCAGCCTAGTTATCCTTCTCCCCCGTTCTTCTCCTTTTATGGTTTGGGCTGGCAAAAACTCCTTTTTCCACAATAATTATGCTTGTTCAAAGTCTTTGGGGAGGCTTCACAGCTCAGGTCAATGCAACAACCAATCTTGACTCCTACAAACTGAAACATTAATGAAACATTCTCTCCTCTCAGGAGAGAGAGGTGGACTATAGGGACAGAATGAGGCATATGCTGTCACATGTGCTCAGCAAATTCTGTTGTTCTGCTAAACTGTACCTCTTTGTTACAAGGGGGAGGGGTGGGTGTGGGTATGGGTGTGTGGGTGAGAGAGAGAGAGATGTATGAGATGGGGTAATGGGGGTGGCATCAGTAAATGACAACAATGGAAAAAATATCAAATACATCTTTTTTAAAAGCTTTGAGGGAGAGGCAGCAGCAATGGAAAATTTGCACAGGATGTTATGCTGATCAAATATGTAGCGAAAACAATGTTATTTTGGGAAGTATTAGTCTATTTGCTACAAGCGTTGGACAAGAATGGCTCAGATCCTAATACTTTTAATGCCACGTGGGTCCAATCTCCTGCTATCTCTGCAGGCCACTTGCCCTGACTGTTACACAGGACTTATGGTTATGGTGGTTATAGAACTGAGCAGGTGATGGCTAATCTGAGCCTGGCCATAATGAGTTTGAATGAATCAGTGAATGTGTCAGAGAGGTCCTTGAATGGAAAGTTTTATGGATACTCTTTTTTGGCATTGCTGTCACTTCCAAATGACCATCTTCTAAGCCATCTCTTAACGGAATCCTTCCTTGTAACAAAGAAGTAAAGGAAAAACCCCAACCTATTGGCCACATCTGAAGATATAGGCCGTATTCCACACCTATGGTCCACTACTTCTCTAACAAGAGGCGAGATTTGTGGGGAAGAATCACTCTTGTTTCTGCACGGGGGGGGTCTTCTACCTTTTGTACTTATTAGTACAGATCTTGTCTTAAGGACCAGAATTATTGGTATCATATTTTAAACTCACAGAAAATATAGGCATGCCTTTATTTTTATCCCTTAGTCATCCAAGCAACAAACATTCATTAAGCATCTACTACTATGTGCCAACCACAGGAGATGCAAATAGAAAAGGAAGGTAGTCCCTGCTCTCAAGGGGCTTACATTCTACTGGAAGGTATATGTATATATGTACATAGATAAGTATGCATGAGATACATACAAAATCAATACAAAGTACTTACATAAGTATATACATGTTAATAACAATACATAGTAACACCCAAAGGAACCAGGAATGACCTCTAGAAAGAGGTGGTATATATCTAACAACTACCACCTTTGTTATTTGCAAAGGACATATTCATTCATTCAATCAGTAAGCATTTAATAAGTGCAAGCTGGCACTGGGCTAGGCTCTGAGAACACAAAAAGAAACAGTTCTTGCACTACGAGTAGCTTACGTTGAACTGAGGGGGAGAGAGTGGGGAGTCATCTCAGCTGATGACTTTTACGAAGTACTCATTCATCACCTACCATCTCTGTCCTCAGCTTTCTGTAGATAATGTCCAATAACATTTAATATCTTCCCTTTACAGATTTCAGGTGGAGGCTTAATCAAAGGATTGTCATCAAAATTTATTTCCCTCAGTGACGAAAGATTATTGAGACTATTAGGCAATGTTGTCAGACGATTTCCTAGTGGAAAAACATCAGTAGTCAAACTGTACCTTCAGTGAAAGAAAATTAGGGAGACATTCAATGAATTAAGTCCAAGGCTTAAAAAGATCCAGACCCTGTTAATCACATCATCAGCCCCTCTACGGCTCATTGGCTTTTTCTATAAAGTGGGATAGCTGCACCGAAAGGGGAAAGGAAAGCTCTACATAAAGAAGGCTGTATTCCTGGGGCTCCCCTTCCTCCAAACATGTATTAAGTGCCCCACTGTGTACAAGGCCCAGCTGCAGGAGATACATAAAGAAAACAGTCTGCCATTGAGGAGTTTATATTCTGCTGAAGCGTATGACAGATACACAGATAAGCATATTACCACATATGAAATGATGAGGGCAAAGGAGAGATAGATACAGAGCGCACTAGAAAGACTGGAAAAACATTCTCAGCACAGGCAGAGGGAGGAAGCAGAGAAATCTACAGAGAGGAGCTGGCATTGGAGCTAAGCCATCAAGGAAGACAGGCATGTTTTGGAAAGTGGAGATGGGGGAGAGAATACTAAAAACAACAGCTAAAATGGATACCCCACTTCAAGGTTTTCAAAGTGCTTAATATATGCATTATTCTATTTGATTTTCACATTGACCCTTCAAGCCAGGGATTTTCATTAACCTCAGATAACTGATAGGTGCCACTTCCTTCAAGAGGTTCAGAAAGGTTGAAATGATGTGTTCTAGGGCACACAAGTAGGAAATGGCCAAGGCAGAATCTGAACCCAGGGTCTCTGAGTCCAACTTCAGCAGAAGTATGTGAAGACTTGGAAGGGAGGGCGGCCAGACTCTGGAGGGCCTACTCAATGAAACTGTAAAACGAAGAGTGAGTACCATGTATTCCAAGTACATGGCTCACTGTTCTGCCTGTGGCTGCTTAATGAAGATTTCATGGAATCACCACATTGTAGAATTAGTAGAGACCTCTACCTGCACATTAGTACAACTCACCTCCGAAAGGCATACCCACTGTGGCATCCCCATCCACCAGTCCCCGAATCTCAGCTGGAGCACTTCCAGTTCAAGGGCACCTACTCTTCTTCTTTTTTTTTTTTTTTTTAGGCAATTAGGGTTAAGTGACTTGCCCAGGGTCATAGAGCTCATAAGTGTCCACCTAGCTGCCCTCACAAAATAGAACTCATTATCTTTTTTTTTTTTTAGGCAATTGGGGTTAAATGACTTGCCCAGGGTCACACAGCTAGTAAGTGTCAGATGTTGGGTGTGAGGTCATATTTGAACTCAGGTCCTCCTGACTTCAGAGCAGCCACTGCGCCACCTAGCTGCCCCTTTGGCACCTACCCTTCTTGAGACCACCCATTCTACTTTTAGACAGCTCTAACTGCTACCAAACTTCCCCTGTCATCAAGCCCAACTTGGCCCTTCTGCAACTTTCACTCACTGCTTCTGGTTCTGCTCACTGAGGCCAAAGAGAACAAGAGTGGTTGGTCTTTGTTTCATGTCCTAGCCCTTCATATGTTTAATGAAAGCTATCATTTCTCCCCCTGAGTCTTTTCTTTTCTGGACTAATATCTCCATTTCCATCAAATGGTCCTCATGTGAGATGGACCCAAGGCACATTGTGACCATTCCAATTGCCTTCTGGACTTTCCTTCCTAAATGGTGACCCTCAGAATTGAACTCAATCCTCCAGAGGACTAAGGAGAGAAGCACTTTTAGCCTTTCCTTCCTGTTAGGTGAATTATCATTCCTAATGCTATAATTGCTTTAGGTTTTTTGGCTACCATCACACCCTAATAACTCATGTGGAAATTGTAGCCTTCTCGTGGCCCTCCACTTTTCTCAGACAAGAGACACAGACAAACCAGGCTTCCCCCAATTTGTTCTTGTGAAGTCAGTTTTTTGAATCCAAGCATAAGACTTGATGCCGAGCCTGTTGAATTCCTTTCATATGATGTAGCCCCCTGTTCTAGCCTGGAAAGATCACTTTGTATCCTGACTCGTCATCCAATGGGCAGCTCTCCCTCCCAGCTTGGTGGCATCTGCAAACTGAATGAGTAGGCCATCTGTACCTTTATCTAAGTCAATGATTAAAATGTTAAATAGCACAGGGCCAAGCACTGATTCCTGGACATGCCACTAATTGAAACTGTACCATTGATGACTTCTCTCTGAGTCTCACCATTCAACCAACTTGGAATCTATCTAATTGCCTAGCTCACCTCTCTCATCTTTACGTGCTTAGCATGCAATACTTTGTCCCATATTTAACTGGAATCTAGGGACATTTGTCTGCAACATCCTGATTAACCAGGTTAGTAACGTTATCCCAAAGAGGAAATCAGGTAAGTCTGGCATGGCTATAATGAGAACATGCTGGCTCTTTGTAATCACTGATTCCTTTGCTAGATATTCACTAATTATCACTTGGATACTTAAGGCAGCTAGGTGGTACAGTGGATAGAACACCCAGCCTAGGGTCAGGAAGAAATGAGTTCAAATCTGGCCTTGGATACTTACTAGCTGTGTGATCTTGGGCAAGTCATTTAACCTCTGTTTGCTTCAGTTTCCTCATCTGTAAAATGGGGGGGCTAATAACCCAGGATTGTTAATTATCTCATATGAGATAATAATTTTAAAACGCTTAGCACAATCTCATAGTAAGTACCATATGAATATAAAAACAACAAAAACAAAAAACCTTGAGTGAACTATTCTAGATTTTACTTAAGAATCAACATCAAATTCCTTCACTGACAATTTGCAGACTCTAATCCATAGGTTCCCAGAGTGGGCAATACCACCCCAGGGGGAAGGGTGCTGGAATGATGGGGGGGGTACAATAGGAAGTGTTGAATAAAAATAAAAAGGCAGTAGAAGTCTAAGAAAAGCAGATAAAGTTTTGAAAAGCCATTTGTACATGTTTCATCTGTTGTATAACAAGAGTTAAAGTTGTTGTGATTACATCATTTTCCAAATAAATTCACAAAATGGAAGTTTTAACTGACCAGTGGTCAAGTCCGGTCTTAACAAGCAAGTGTTGGCAGGTGAGCATATCATGTGTTGTTGGGAAGTCCATCATGCATCTGCAGGAATATGTGCATGTAATGACTTGTTTACAATATGATATAGATGGTTAAGTGACATAATATTGTGTCATCAAAATTTCAATACAGAGAAAAAACCCACAAATTTATAATAAATTATTAAATTTAAAAAATATATTTTAGGGGCAGCTAGGTGGCGCAGTGCATAGAGCACTGGCCCTGGATTCAGGAGGACCTGAGTTCAAATCTGGCCTCAGACACATAACACTTACTAGCTGTGTGACCCTGGGCAAGTCACTTAACCCCATTGCCTAGCCAAAAAAAATATAATATATATATGTATATATATTATATTTTTAATGATGCGAATTTTTTTTAAAATTGTAGATTTCTGGGGGGCACTGAGTGATTTTTTTTAAAAAGGGGGGTGGTAGGCAAATAAATTTGGGAACCTCTGCTCTAATCTTTTTCCCTTTTAGAAAATTAGGGTGCCATTTGTCCTTCTGGTATTTACTTTGTGTTAGATATTACTTTGTGTGTTAGATATTACACTACAAAAGAAATAAAAAGGGGCAGCTAGGTGCCACAGTGGATAGAGTACTGGCCCTGGAGTCAGGAGGACCTGAGTTCAAATCCAGCCTCAGACATTTAACATTTACTAGTTTTATGACCCTGGGCAAGTCACTTAACCCCAACTGCCTCACTAGAAACAAACAAAAACCAATTCAACACCATTAATAAAATTTAAATTTAAAAAAAAAGCAATTAAAAACCATTTTCTACCCTCCAGGAGTTTATATTCTACTAGTTATATTCTACTATATTATAAATCTATTTGGTAATTAAGTCATTCCCAAAGCTCATAGAAAACTCACTTCCTGTGCTTGAGATGTGAAATCCAACAATTCAATAATTAACTAGCTGGAGGAAGACTCCCAGTCATGCAGACTAGGGATATTACAGCCATGTTCAAGACCTCTGAAATCCCTTTATCTGACCACCAGCCATTGGCTTTTCTCCTCTCCCTTTGCCTTCCTTTCCATAACCCTGCTCTTTATCTGCACTGTGACCTCTCAGTTTTCTCCCAAGCCATCTTTCCTGCAATGGCCACTCTCTCCTTTTCCCTCCATCTTGACTTCTTGGTGAACCAATTTAACTCTACACTCTTTCCCTTTTGAATCTTCAGTGCCTTTATCATATCCCCTATTATGATTAGCCAAGCCTCAGCCCTGAATCACTCCCACCATTCGTCATCTTCACTTCTACATATGTGTTGCTGAACCAAGTTGGAGAAAATCATACAACTGTTCTAAGTCCACTATAAATTTATGTTACATAACCTCAACTGGGCTTGCACTGCTTCTAGACAATCTTACTATACCTCCCTTATTGGCTCACACTCTTACTCTCCACAGCAGCTCTTCCAAACCTTTTCATGCCTCCAGAAACCTCCCATGGTTCCCCCTCCCCCCACTCTCTCAGCTGAGAACCTTGCCTCATATTTTATAGGGAAAAAAAAAACCAAACTTGAGGCCATTCACCATAAGCTCCTTCTACTCTCCTCTTCCTCATCTCCTGTCACTCAGGTGCTTTCTGCCACTCTCTCCTCCTTCACCCCTTCATCTGACATGATGATGTGGCCTTTCTCCTTATCAGGGCTAACCCCTCTATTTGTTCAAGTGACTCCATTTCGTCCCATTTCCTCCAACAGATTGCCCCCTCTGTCATCCCCATCTCTGTCATTTATTACTTATCTTCAGTCTCTCCCTCTCTACTGGCTCATTCCCTACTGCCTACAAACATGCCCATATCTCTCTCATCCTGAAAAAATCCTCACCTGATCTTTCCATCTCTACTAATGATCATCCTCTATCTCTTCTGCCCTTAGTACACAAATTCCTCAAAAAAGCCTGATTGCAATCCGTGCTTCCAATTTCTCTCCTTCTCTCCTTTCTCTCTCTTCTTAACT